ACTCTCGATTAGTTTCAGAGAAAGAAAATAAAGCTACTAGAATGGCCCAGCCAATTATCTGACTTGAATCCAATAGTAAGTAAGAACCAAAGATCAGAGTTCATAGACGAGGCCCACAGAACCTTTAAGCGTTGAAGACTGTGTGGAAGAATGGGCCAAAATCACACCTGAGCAATGTATGTGACTAGTTTCTCCATACAGGAGGCGTCTTTACCAACAAAGGCTTTTGTATGAAGTATTAAATACATTTCAGTAGTTCAATACTTTTTCCCTGTGTCATTCCATTTTGTTACACATAACTTAATTTCTGAACTTATTTGTTTTGTTTTCTTTGTATGGATTACTTGGGCTGTTACCGACATCTGGTGAAAATTTCAGAAAATGTCAACAGCACCTTTAGAAAAATATTTACTGAGAAAAATGGTGACGTGTTCACTACTTATTTTACCTGCTGTATAATGTATTTTAATGTATTTCTCATTGCATTACACTGTAATTGTCCTGACCACATCATTTATTGTACATAATGTATCTAATGCAAGACCCAGAGTATTTAAAAGGCTGTTAATGTGGCGTTCCCCGTCTGGGAGATTAATAATAAAGTGAGTGGCTGAAATAAAAGCACACCCTTCAAAGTTCTTCCCATACCGTGAGCTGTGATGGGGCCGGCACACAATGTGTGAAGTTTATGCTCCCTGCTGTTGCTATATATATATATATATATATATATATATATATATATATATATAAAATACGTCCTTTACAGCACTCATGATTAATATTTCTCTCTTTTTCAACGCAGGATTTTTAGGTGGATTCTAGAATGGTGCTAAATGGATCCAGGTAGGTAAGCATAAGACAAAACGAAAACCAGTAAACAACAATTTAGTCATCTAGTCATGTTTACATTAAAGGGATAGTTCACCCAAAAATTAACACTCTGTCATAATTTACTCTCCCTCATGTTTGTTCAAACCTGTATGACTTTCTTTCTTTTAAAATATAAAAGAAGAAAATTGTGAGGAATTTTTCAAATGTATTTTGAGAAATTATATTTTGCGGAATGTTTCAAATGTCATGTGTTCCGAAACAACATTGAACCACAGGATTTTTTGATGAATACTAACTTCTTTCCCAGTATGAGTCATTTTTGCCCTCTCTTACCCAGTATGAGTAAGTTACATTGGTGATTTACATGGTAAACGGCTGACCATTTGTGGTGCTTAATGAACAAATGCCCACATATTAACACTCCCAAAATGCCACGCCTGTTTTTGCAAACATAAAACTAATTCCCACGGCTCAGGCATTGTTGTTTCAGCAGTTATTGATAGTACCTTCAGCAATTGCATTGACAAGTCATTTGTGAAAGAACACCTAACTTCTCTAAATTCAGTGTATTGACCCACCTCCAATCTCTCTGTGCTTAGAAAGTGGCCTCTTCTCAGTGCTGAATACGTAATGACAAATGGAGCCATTTACCTTGGGGTTAAGTGTTTCTGAGGCATCTCCTTGAGGTGAAACACTGAAAAAGTTGGAAATGTCTGCTCACTGCAAATGTTGCAAGAGGTCCATGTTCTTTCAGAAAGCTGGCCATTGGAGTCAATGGGTCTTCTATGAGGTATGGAAAGGCAATAAATAATGTAGCACCATATTTCTTTTTATCTCCCAAGTCTAAACACTAAGCTTACAACAAGGCCTGAAGCAGCTTAATACGTCTACAACCCTAAAAGTGGTGCAGCTTCTAATGTTGGATGGCAGCCAGTGGACGGCCAGAAGTTTCTAGCGCTCTACAGGTTGTATGCTGGCTGGAAAACTTTGAGGAACATTACATGAACAAACACAGAGAACCAAAAAACTCGATTTGTAGTACATTTCTGGAGCGATCAAACTATTGATTGTGTATTGAAGTCCACTGGCAAGGTGTTTCCTTAATTTGGTTAGGAATTATATTTTTAGAAACACTGAAAGGTTTTGGGTCTCTGTTCTAGTACTTTTTAAGTATTCAATGTTAATGTGAGAAACAGGTCCAGATCAATACAATTCACACACCACACAATACAGAAGGTTACCTTCACACTTCAGTAATCAGACTAGACATTCATATGATTATAAGTCACAAGTCGGGTTTATTGTTCATCTCTTGTAAATGGAAATTCATTGTCTTGCCCTGTGACATTATGAATCACTCGTCAGGGCCTACTGAATAGGAATAAGCACTGAAAGTGACAGCCTCATATGGGCAGTCACTTGGCAAAAGCAAACCATGGGAAATCGCTGTCCATAATGGAAAAGTGGCCCTGGTATCTAATTATAGACCTGGCATGGGGATGCTGCATGCATAAACCACTCATGTAAACAAATAGAGCAGAATATGTCTCTTGACACCACAGTATCTCTGTAACACAGCTTGATTACACTGTTTTTAGTAAATCCTCTGTATAATGAAGAAATGGCTTTTGGTAGATGTTTGAGTCCTCTTTATCTGTAAAATATGATTCAAATTATTTTATTTTATTTTATTTGAGAATTTTATTCAAAGCATAATGATTGATTTTGAAGACCAATCGAAGAAGTTCAGCTGAAGAAGCACATAGGAAGTGGCATAGTGTTGGGAGGTGCCACAGATGATAACCAGACTGTCAAGTTTATGTCTGTTGTGGTTAACGCCCTGCAACCGCACTGTGAAATTCTGAGAAAAAAATACAAAGATAACAATTGAAATTGAAAAAAATTAAAGCAAATAAACAATTTAAATGGTTGAAATCATTTAAAAATAGTTATATGACAAGCTGAACAAGCACATTTACAGCAGGTTAGCTGGTTCAGTCCCAACACCAGGATTATGAAGATGAAACAAGGGTGGACATTTCAGCAAGACTATCCCAAACACCGCCAAGGAAACTCTCGATTAGTTTCAGAGAAAGAAAATAAAGCTACTAGAATGGCCCAGCCAATTATCTGACTTGAATCCAATAGTAAGTAAGAACCAAAGATCAGAGTTCATAGACGAGGCCCACAGAACCTTTAAGCGTTGAAGACTGTGTGGAAGAATGGGCCAAAATCACACCTGAGCAATGTATGTGACTAGTTTCTCCATACAGGAGGCGTCTTTACCAACAAAGGCTTTTGTATGAAGTATTAAATACATTTCAGTAGTTCAATACTTTTTCCCTGTGTCATTCCATTTTGTTACACATAACTTAATTTCTGAACTTATTTGTTTTGTTTTCTTTGTATGGATTACTTGGGCTGTTACCGACATCTGGTGAAAATTTCAGAAAATGTCAACAGCACCTTTAGAAAAATATTTACTGAGAAAAATGGTGACGTGTTCACTACTTATTTTACCTGCTGTATAATGTATTTTAATGTATTTCTCATTGCATTACACTGTAATTGTCCTGACCACATCATTTATTGTACATAATGTATCTAATGCAAGACCCAGAGTATTTAAAAGGCTGTTAATGTGGCGTTCCCCGTCTGGGAGATTAATAATAAAGTGAGTGGCTGAAATAAAAGCACACCCTTCAAAGTTCTTCCCATACCGTGAGCTGTGATGGGGCCGGCACACAATGTGTGAAGTTTATGCTCCCTGCTGTTGCTCCTGACCTCCCCCATTCTCTTTGCATCATTACACTCTTTTTGTGACCAAATAAACTTTGACCAATTTGTTTTTTCCTCTTTAGTGCTATTTAGCTAGTTCAGGTAGACTAAAGCGATTTTGACACACACATCCCGACTGTGACTTTGTTTGTGCATAGTGTCTCTTCAACACAACATTTGCCCTCTTATTATTGCATTATGTGTAATTTCTATAGATGCTATGCATCCACACTAGAGAACAGCAGCTGTGAAAGCAACTGGATAGTTGTGACACCATGCTATAAACCTGTGTGTGGTGTGAGAACAAGAGAGTAAGAAGTGAGCACCTAATAAAGATTTGGACATGCTTGTCATCAAAAAAGCCTCAATGACCGTTGGCTTTTTCTTAATGGCATCAAGCCATTTAGTATACACTACACAAATGCACAATGAAAATGTTTCAGATTTCAAATTTTTTTTCATTGTTCCTGTTTTGTACATTGTGGGTAGTAATCTAATTTAATTAAAGCAATTAAAACGGAATTTAAACTGACTGTGTAGTAACTACACACAAAACTATATGTGGTATGTATGAATTATTAAAGTATGAATTCTTGTCGGCATCTCTTTCCAAGTTATGTGTAATATGCACAAATGTTGGACAAAACTGAAGTTGATAAGCACTTGGAATTACACAAGATGTACTTCTGTGATTGGTCTATTAGAGTTCTTATGTACAGAAATGGAGGGCATGATTACTATGCGCTTATTGTTTTGTTTTATGTTGGGTGTGCAATAGTGCATCAATATTTTAAGGAATATTTTCAGTGTCACTTCCTGTCTCAGATTTTCTTAGGGGTATTCCAAATAAATCACACATTTTACACATATTTTGCAAGAAAGGAAAAAACATTAAATTGTTTGTAAAATTATTAAATGGAAAGTTCAATCAAAAATTGTCATCATTTACTCACACTCAAGCTGTTCCAAACTTGTGCCAAGCTGTGTTTTATATATATATGCAAATTAGTTAAATGCATTACCAGTTATATATGATGTCAGTTTAATAATGTGAGACATTATTAAAATAAATATAACAGGTAGAAAACATAAAATAAAAATAATGTATTTTCCAGAAAAAAAGAAGTAAATTGCAATTTTTTATAACACATTCTACGATTATATCTACTTTACGCCAAATGCACTGATTTGCGCTGCTATGCAAATAATATTGACTTTCCACTGATTGAAGCCTATCCACATACACAGCAGTCAGTTCTTCAGTATAGCTAAAGCAGGCAGCCTCCTCCCCACGAGTGGAGAAATCCCGCCTTCCAAGTACAGATGTAACACTACACTGACCAATCAGTGCTAAAATATGTCTACCACGTGACTATTCGCGAGCATTGGGAAGCGTCCATAGGCGGGGACAATAGTGGGCCTGGCTCGTGCGTTTGGTTGTGTAGGTAAGCCTTGGATGAGATTTTGTGAGTTTTCTATATTATTATTTGAGTATTTGGCTGTTTAATATGAATTCGTTATGTCCACGTAAGCAGACTTGGCGTTTAGAGCCCATGTCTTTATTTTACACTTTTTCTTTAAGCCACATAGCGCTGGAATAACAGTTTCCTGTGTGAAAGTAACCGCCTGGATAGCAGCGGTCATTTCTCCTTTGAATAAAATCAGTTATGTTTTCATTTTATAAACAGTCATGCTGTTTTGTATAACACTCACAGACCTCTTTTGACTTTTTACAAGACTCGGACATATTTTTATATATTTGAGTAGACTTACTGTGTAATTTCTTAAGTGTGAAATTCCGTTAATTTATTAAACGCATTGTTAAATTGACGCTACTAAAGAACAAAAGTGTGCCTTCAGATGATTACAATGCTGCAATGATGTATTAACGTCGACAGAAGTTCACAAGCTCTTAACTGACAGTGTATATATAGCTTTATAGCTTTTATTGTAGCTATTCCATGTACTTTCATATATTTGACATTACAAAACACTTCGGAAATGTAATTTATAACACGTTGGTTTGTCCCCCACCCCCAGACTCTGAGTAGCTGTTTTGGACTGGACTGAATCTCACCACACCTTATTTTTTGGACAGCTTCATACACAGATGTTACATCATATTCCACTGGATATGTACGTGAAATAGTTTAGGATCCAACTCATATTTTGTTTCTTTCTTCATGGATGGCATGGCTTTTGGAGAAACGTGATTTTTGATAAGTGTTTGCAAACTCGTGGGAAATACTAAGCAAAGTTACTGTTCAAGTGAAGTTTCATTCCAAAGATGGATCAGCAGGCAGCTGGAGGGGAGGACCCAAATAAACCCTCCAAAAAGAAATCCAGTGAGGATGAGAGCAAAAACAAAAAACTGGTATGTATTATATTTTCAGGATTCAATTTGTTGTTGTTATTTTTTAGTTATGCAAAACTAATTCTGATATTTTACAACAACATGGGTGTCACATGTGTTTGTAAATGGAAAAACATGGGGAAAAAAGTCATACATTTTTAGAAACCATGGGGACAGGCCAAAATGCATTCTCATGGAAAAAGAAAGTAAAATTAACCTGCATTTTTGCTAAAGAGAAATGCCTATAACAACACATAGTAGAAGCTGGTCTCAGCTTGTTATTGTTAAAGTCATTGTTTAGACTTGTTCATGAGGGACACAAAAGGCCCCCTTTTTGTGCAGTGACCCTGTCAGAATTTTTTCTGGGCTTTTCTACCTCTGGAGTTCATCCAGATAACTTTAGCTGTGAAGAATTTAACCATTTTTGTTATCGATCAACAAAGTTTCTCTCAAACCTGGAGTATGTTTTCACTGCAAAGATTAACCAGCTCAGTCAGCACTCTCTGGTGGAGCTGTTGAACCTATCAGTGTATTACTTCACAGGACCCTGAACCTTGTGATAATGTGCTGTCAAAACACTCTTTGAGTGTCAGTGGGGTCTGGAATAGTGTTTGTGATAGTGCTGAACCTTTATGGATGGTTACACTTATCTCAAAGGCTTAGTAGTGAAACTAAAACGGTTTGTTTCAGTTCTTGGTTGCTGCCTTATTGAAAGTTTGATAGCGTTGTGGAAAGTTTGCTGACTTACTGACCTCAGGGCGAAGTAGGGCCATGTGATATGTGAAGTTATTTGTCTGTTGTGTCCAGTATCAAGCTTACTAGTGGCGTCATGTGATTTTTAAGAAATACAATGTCTAACCAAAGGCATCAGCAGTAACGGAACAGTCTGTTGGTTAGTGAATGCATGTTAGGTATTTGTCAACTCTATGATACAGAGCCAAGTATTTTAGTATTACCGTATGTCATAGCTGTAGGGAACCGATTACTTCATCACTGTTGCACAGCCTTCTCATGTTTCATATGCCACTTTTAATGACCTGGGATTCATTTGCTTTGACTTCTAAAATTGGTAATGCTGGTTACTGGATGTAGGACAGTCTATTTCAAGGTGCCTCCTTGTGCATGTATTAATTACTTTACAAGACTGCCTCGCTTCCTGAAAGTTGTGGCCTTGCCTGTAGACTTAACAAAGCCGTCTGAAGATCATTTAGTCATCTTGTAAGGTCTCGGACAGAGCTTATCGTCACAGCAGGGTTCCAGAACAAGCGAGGTGAATGAGTGTTTTAAGTCTGTGAAATCCGCATACACATTGTAACTTTGCTTAACAGCTTGTCTCCAGTCAAATGAGCGTGTCCTGTACCAGCTTCATAATGACAGCGCTCTTTTGGGAGCTGCAGGAATCCATCCGTTTATGAGCTCTATTTACTTTGTGGAATGTAAACCTTTGGAAGCCAGATGGAGACTTTCTGATAGCCGTATTTGTAGCTGTAGTTGAACAGTGCCCTGAAAGTAGTGTGGTAGACATACTACAACTAACTTTTTCTGTCACTTTTGATTAATTTTAATGCATACTTGGTGAATAAAAGTATTAATTTCTTTCCAAAAAATAATCGTACTGACCCCAAACTTTTGAACAGTAGTGTAAGTGTTATGTTAGTTATATTGATCTCTGAGCTCTAGAGGTCGACCGATATGGGTTTTTCACTGTCGATGCTGATATTTAGAAATCAGGGCAGCCGATATATGATGCCGATATTTTGACAGATTTTTTTTTTCCCTTCATCTCATAAAAGTGAGTTTGAGTAAATGATTATTGCAGGGTACAAGATAGTAATAGTAGTAGTAGCCTAATTCAGAGTAATACAATTAGTAGGGGTGTAACCCCAACATCCTGGCCAAATTCGCCCATTGGCCTCTGACCATCGTGGCCTCCTAACCATCCCCATATCTGCTGATTGGCTTCATCATTCTGTCTCCTCTCCACCAATAAGCTGGTGTGTGGTGGGCGTTCTGGCGCAATATGGTTTCCTTCGCATCATCCAGGTGGATGCTGCACACTGGTAGTGGTTGAGGAGACTCCCCCCTTCTATTGGCGCTTTTCCACTGCGTGGTACGACTCAGCTCGGCACGGCTCAGCACGGTACGGCACGGCTTGGCTAGGCTCGGCTCGGTTTGCGTTTCTACTGCAGTTCAGTACCGCTTTAGATTGGGCGGGATTATTCACATGTTGTTATAGTTGCGCCGCCTCTATTGCCGCGACTCCTGAAAAATATCATTGCGCGTCACCCCATCAAGCTCTCGCTGGATCCGCTCCTCTGCTATCAAGGAGAGGAACGTCTGTACTTCCTCAACAGACAATGAAACAGCCATTTTTTGGTTGTTAAAAAAGGTGTGCTCGTTCAAAACAGTTGCGTTTGCTGGCTGTGCTGATTTAAATCTAGCTGTTCTGTTGTGTTTGTGTCGCAAGTTCAGTGACGCAGGTAGTGACGATTCTCTCCGGCCAATCCGTGATCAGCAGTTTACAAGTCACATTTTGGTAACGGTACGGTTCACTTGGAACCTCAACCAAGGTGGTACTAAAAAAGTACCAGGTACTGTACGCAGTGGAAAACCCCCCAAAAGTGTACCGTACCGAGCCGTACCGTGCCGTAACATGCAGTGGAAAAGCGCCATATGTAAAGCGCTTTGAGTGCCCAGAAAAGTGCAATATAAAAGTAATTATTCATATTATTATTAATAATAATACATGGCTCAAAACTTAAGAACCTTCTCAAAAAAGTTCTGAAGCATGCTTTGTGTTTGTTTGCTGACAGACACCAGTGTTTCCCACAGACTTGCAAATGCAGATTCATCTCAGTTTATTCAACAAAGTAAGTATTTTGGGAAATCTATCTAATTTCTCAATGTATGAGAAACACTGGACACTGCTATAAGTCAAATGGCCAAGTGATAACAAAAATAAAAGAGTTCACACATATTACACAGCCTGCTGCTCATAACTGCTTAGAGTGCACTGGCCACAAGCGATGACATCGTGGATGCTATTGTTGGACCTACACACACATTTCATGAGGAAAGTTAATGTGCACGTTATAATCAGCCCAGAAGTTTTGTCTGTTTCTACTTTCACATGCAAATGACTTGATGCACTTATGAAAATGATAACTTTCCGGCATAAATTCTAGTAGGGTAAAAACGTAATTATGCTTTTGAAATGGTCTGTTTTGCCCTGCCATCATTAGCTGAAGCTGTGTGTGAACAAGAAGTGGCAGCAGAGTGTGAGTTGCTCAGTCTCTCACGCAGCCAGAGAGAGATTCACCGGCGTTCTGCAACAACGCTTAGCTGCCTGCAGATGCGCCTGCCTATAAATTGGCCTAATTTGCAGCACAATCAGCCGATGTCGTTTAATTAAAAAATGCCAAAATCGGCCGGTCAATCGGTCGACCTCTAATGAGCTCTAAAAAGTAATGGGTAGAAATCACTGAGAAATTACTATTTGTGAAAAGACAAATACTTTAAAAATATATCTTGTAATCACAAACAATTGGAGAAAATTTGTACATTTATTATTCATAAAAAAGTGTGAACCCTGACGAGCATTTAATCCTTGTAAGATATAGAATGACAGACTTGAATTATTTACATTTTTAATAATCTTATATTCAATCATTTTAATATATTGTCACTATTGGTTGCAAGCAAACAGCTTTGTCAAAGCAGAAGTACCAGAAATATTGAGGACCCCTTGTCAAACAGTTAAACACTAGTCAGAGTATCTGCAGGATCAAATGTAAGACTGTAAGACCTGCACAAATAAAATTAATACCATATGAGTGGGGTAGCGAAATGTCTATAGTAACATAACCTATTAAACTGTAAAATGACTGTAAAAAGCATAACAAAAAGTTTTATAAAATGATAAACTTCACATTTTAGCCTTGAGATTCAGCCTTGTGATGAGTCAAACGTATCAGTTATGTTAATTTAAACAATTATCAATCAATTATGTTAATTAAATAGCCTAACATATATCTTAGTGTCTTAATTGTTTAGATTTGTATTATGCATTAGCTTCTTGTCAGTGCACTGGCTGACATTTACAACTGTGCTTTTGCTGCATTTTCGCTTTAGTCTGAACAAAAACAGCAGATGGGCTTATTGAAAATGCAAATTCATTCTTTGCCAGCAGGTGGCATTTTTGGAACATCAGAAATACAGCGTTTCCCTGGGAATGGCAGTACAGGAAGGAGTGCAGCACCTGACTTTGACACTTGCATTGCTCATATTTATTCAATGAAATCATAACCATTTGAAGTTTAACTGTCACGTTGAGCTATATCGCAATTCTTGTCTTTCCAATCCATCCCCAAATTTAAGACATCCTGGAATCATAATTAAGATTTTCTTTAAGACTTTTTATGATCTTAAATTTTAAATAACTAAATGTAAGACTTTTTAAGGACCTGCAGAAACCCAGAGGATGTTGAGGGTTACACACACACACACACACATACTCTCAGCCCTTAACACTGATGTCACTATCTTATAGTGATCTCACTGTTGCCCACCCAGTGACTGATTTGGTGTCAGGCATGTTCTCTGTTTCCTAATTTATCTGCATACATGAGAAGTCCAAAACTTCTGCTGTTGCACAGTAGCTTTTAGCAAAATTGAGGAAGTGATCCACCAGAAGGGTGATCAAGTTTAAAATCATCCAGTCTTTTTAGATTTCTTTCAGTAACAATTTAGTCTTCAGCATCTATTATGGTAAAAGGGAGGGAATGCATTTGTTTGTTGAGTAGATGTAGAACATTGACATTGATGTATTTGGTTGTAGTTTATTTTATGATGGAAAGTAGAGTATTTGTAAGAGATAGAAAATGGAGCACACATCTATCACAGCTTGAAGTGGGGTGGTGCTTCATGACTGGAGGGCAGGATAATACTTAATTTTACAAAGTTTTTAATGACTGGTAAGTGGGGATTCAGAGTGAAGTAACCTTATATGGCTTGATGCTGCT